CCGACCAGTGATTGTGGATCCAAGAGTTTCCGCCCGACCAGTGATTGTGATGGCCTATCCCATTCGAACCAATGAAGGAGAAATGGTCTTCGTACATGGGACGATTTAAACTGAACCTAGAAGTAAATGGACTGCAGGCAACCTCTGACACAAAGAAGGCCTTCTTCTTAACATACTACGACTTGGAGCTGTACGAACTGGCAGAAGCCCTCATCGCGGACGAGCTCAAGAACATCTCCTGGGACGAACTGCAGCGAGTATTGAAGGGACATTTTGACCCAACCCTCTTGTACTTGGCAAACCGGCACGATTTCTACATCCAGAGCCAACAAGAAGGGGAGAGCATCAATGAATTCATGGCCGCCCTAAGGAGACTTTCAAAAAACTGCAAGTTTGTGAATGCAGAAGATATGATCAGGGACCGGCTGGTCCTGGTCCTCAAGGACTTAATGTTACAAAAGAGGCTGCTAGCAAGGGAGGAAGTTTCCTTCAAAGAAGCCTTGGAGGAAGCCAGAACCACCAGTTGCCCAACGGAAAAGAAGCCCCAATAGCTTACTATTTTAAGACTCTGTCAAAAGTCGAAAGGAACTATGGGCAAATCAACAAAGATCTCGCCACAGTAGCCAGCATAAAACAGCTCCACAAATACCTTTACAGCAGACCCTTTGAGCTAATCACCAAGCACAAGCTGCTACTGGGCATTTTATTGGGAAACAAACCCACACCCAACTTCCTGTCACCAAGGAAGTTATGGTGAACTGTCTTCCTGGCAGCATATAACTACAAGCTGTTCCACAGACCAGGAAAATAAATTTCACATGTGGATGCCCTCAGCAGATACCTCCTGCCAGATCTAGTGGAAGACCAGCAACTTCCATATTCCTCGCCAAAAGTCTTGAACCAGGCCTACTGACAACCAAGGACATCACAAGACTTACTGTTAAAGACAGAACATTGGCGCAGGTTTTGAACTGGGTGCGGAGGGGGTGGCCAGACAGAACAGAAGGGGACGAGTTTAAAAACAGGCAATTAGAATTGTCAGCACTGAAGGGTTGTTTGTTGTGGGGGAAGAGAGTGATTGTACCCCAGCCATTATGGAAAAGGGTTTTGGAACTGTTACATGAAGGGCACCCAGGGATAGTACGGATGAAGGTACTAGCAAGGAGTTACATCTGGTGGCCGGGGCTAGACAACGACATCGAAACCTGGGTAGCTGCATGCCCACCATGCCAAGAATTCCACCTGTCCCCCCCCCTGCAGCACCCCCCCCTGAAGTGGGAGAAACCTTCAGCACCCTGGGCCTGCATATATGTGGATTTTGCAGGACCCTACCAGGGGCAAACTTTACTGGTGGTCAACACCTATTCTAAGTGGTTGGAGGTGGTGATCATGAAATCCATAACAACCGAAGCAACCATCAAGGCCTTAAGGAAACTGTTCACCACTCATGGCCTACCCGATGTTCTGGTTTCTGATAATGGCCCCCAATTTACAGCACAACAATTCAAAGGGTTCCTCGCTAAATTGGGAATCTGCCCCTCATTGGTCCAGCCACTGGCGGGAAGAATGAAGACCCATCAGTGGCTGAAGTGTTGGACAGTGCTGGCTATAAAAAGGCGGCACTGCTGTGGCTTGTAGTTTCTTCATCTGCATTTGAAATAAAGAGTTTTTCTGGAATCCTTGGTCCTGCTCCTTCCTTTTCACACCCATTCAACTGAAGCAGTAATAGATACCGGGTGTTCCAGATGCCTTATTGAACAATTAGGGATAAAAACTAAAGCCCTAAAATGCTCAATCACGTTTGAACATTAATTGGAACATTAATTGGAGGAGTCCCAGCCACCCAAATTACAGAGTTGATCAAACTAGAAATGAGCAGGCATTGTGAACTTATACGATTTGCAGTGGCTCCAAAAATGTCAGAATCTACCATATTGGGACTTGCTTGACTTGATAAATGGGTCCCTACCATCAAATGGAAAAACGAATACCGGAAAATCATAATTGGTGTTGGCCCACTGCCCCTGTTTCCTCCTGAAAAGAGACTGCCACCCAACAGGGGTCCACAACCAGAAGCAGCAGTCACCCCTTCAGACTCTCCTCTAGGTGAGCCCCAGGTTTCTAAAAAATACAGGAACTTGGCTGAGGCTTTTAGTGAAGCGGAATGCAACATTTTACCCCCATATTGAACCACTGATTGTACCATCGAATTAGAACCTGGGGCAAAATTGCCCATACTAAAGATGTACTCCATGACACTAGCCGAGATGACTGACTTGAGGAAATACATTGATACCAATTTAGCCAGAGGCTTCATCGAACTAGCAAAATCTAGGTTGGCAGAGTACTGTTTAAAGAAAAGAAAGATGGCAGTGTGAGATTATGTGTGGACTTTAGAGGTGTGAACGCTGTATGCATAAAAAGCATGTACCCCCTATCCTTAATGAAAGACTTGCTAAATTACCTGTCTAAAGGCAAAATCTTTACCAAGCTAGATCTGAGAGAAGCCTACTACTGAGTCTGAATAAAGGAGGAAACGAGTGGTAAACTGCCTTCAACTGCCCTCTGGGTAGTTTCCAGTTCCGAGTCATGCCTTTTGGACTCAAGGTGCCCCCGCTGTATTTATGCAACTAATCAATGAAGTGTTACATCCACATCTGTACAAGGGGGTCCTTGTCTACTTGGTTGACACTCTTATATTCAGCAAAACCATCGAAGAACATGTCAAATTAGTCAGGCAAGTACTGAAAAAACTATTAGCCGTCAAATTATCCACAAAGCTGTCAAAATGAGAATTCCATAAAGAGTCTTTGGACTACCTAGGCTACCAAGTGTCTATCCAGGGAATTGAAATGGACCCTGGAAAGGTGAAGGCAGTGCTAGACTGGCAACCACCAAAAACAACACAAACAACTTCAAAGCTTCTTGGGTTTTGCAAATTTCTAAAGGACAATTTATCCCTTCATTTGCTGAGGTTGCCCTCCCTTTAACAGAGTAACTAAAAACTGGGACTTCCCCAATCAAACCAAGACCCAATCAATCTCTTAATTGGACAATGAACTGTCAGAAATCCTTTGAGACATTAAAACACCTTTTTGCCATGGAGCCTATCCTTCAGCATCCGGACCCAACCAAACCTTTTGTAGTCCAAGCCAATGCCAGTGATGTGGCTGTCACAGCAATTCTACTTCAAAAGAACTCTCAAGATGACCTGGTGCCTTGTGTTTATGTGTCCAAAAAGTTGACAGAAAGCATAGGTGGGCCGTTTGGGAAAAAGGTATTTGCTGTGTGATGGGCTTTACTATCTTGGAGGATTTTCCTGGAAGGAATGAAGGAGCCTTTTGAGGTGTGGACTGATTATAAGAACCTTGAGGCTCTGAAGACACCTCGGAAGCTTTCTCCTAAACAAGTCCGTTGGGCTCAATACTAAAGAGATTCAACTTTAACATGAAATATATCCCAGGAGGAAAAAAAACATATTGGCAGATGCCTTGTCGAGAAAACCTCAATTTGACAGTCGCTGGAAGGAAGTAGTGCAAACTATTATATCAGAAGCCCAACCACCAGAAGCCAAGTGCAGCCCTAGACTCCTAGAAGACAAACTGACAACGAATTTGAAAGCAGCACTTTTAACCAATCCATGGTTTGCTGAAAATCAAATTAATTTGACAATGAACAAAGGATTAGCTTGGAAAGGAACCAAGATTTATGTACCCAATACCCTAAGATTGATGGTGCTAAAATGTAGCCATGACTACATTGGGGGGACAGTTTGGGTTCCTAAAAACCCTACATTTAGTCAGAAGACAGATCTGGTGGCCAAAAATGAAAACTGATGTCATAGACTACGTAAAAAGCTGTTCAATTTATGCCACTATGAAACACAGAACTGGAAAAAACCCTGGCCTCCTCCAACAAGTAGCTGAACCAACGAAACTGTGGGAAGAAATCATGATGGACTTTGTCGTGGAGTTACCAGAGAGTGGAGGAAGTACCATGATTTGGACTGTTATCAATTTATTCTCTAAGCAAGCCCACTTTACAGCTTGTAATGGACTGCCTTCGGCTAAGAAACTGGCAAACTGTTCGTGAAGCATATTTATCGGCTCCACAGAGTGCCTCGTAGAGTAATCTCAGATCAAGGTGTACAGTTCACTGCCAAGTTCTAGAGGGAGTTTTTGAAATCCTTTGGGTCATCCCAAGGCTTTCTTCAGCGTTCCATCCGGTGTGTAACGGCACCACTGAAAAGACAAACACTATGGTGGAACAGTACATTTGATGTTATGTAAATTATCAACAAAAGAACTGGGCAGATCTGTTACCATTTGCAGAGTTGCTTACAATAATGCAGTACACAGCAGCATGGGCTTAACTCCTTTCCAGATGACTTTTGGCTTTTGTCCCTATGCCAGAGTTGCCTAGGGAACCCCCAACATCCATGTTTTTAATGGATTGGATGGAATCACTAAAAAAGGGTTGGGAAGATACAAAAAAGCTCTAGCGGAAGCCGCTGAGGATTATAAAAATCAGGCAGACAAACAGATCTCTCCAACCACCATTTAAAGTGAGGGACAAAGTGTTTTTGTTGACTAAATATCTTAAGTTGAAACTTCCTAGTAGAAAGTTGGGACCAAAATTCCCAACTTTCCATTCCATTCCCTATATCAAACGTAATCAATCCAGTGACTGTCCAACTTAGTCTCCCTCAGCTGTTGGGGAAAATACACCCATAGTAGCTTGTTGAAGCCTGCTGTTGATTCTAATCTATGGCCGGTACCAGCAGCTCCCTCCTGGCAAGCCAAAGGGCCACTTTGGAGGGGGGAGAGAGGATTAAGGGGGCAATATGTTAACCTCTGGTTGTGTTTTGTTTATTGTATTTTCCAGAATGTGATTTTTTTCAAGGGGGGATGCCTGTCAGCTTTGGAAGCTATATTGAGACCAGATACTTCTATGCTGCCATATTTGAGCCTGGGGGAATTTGGAGTGTATGTAATTAGACATAATAACATTCTTTTTCTAATTCAAGGTCATGTTACTTTTTCGCATAAGTAAGAGGAAGTCTTAAGTTGGGATGGCCATGTGATGTAATGATAGGTGCAGGAGATGGATTTGTAGTTTTGATTTATTGCAAGGAAGCCCAGAACCTTCAGATTTAGGATTCCCCAGTTGTGCCAATTATTATCCAAATAAACTTTTGAGAAGATATCTATCTTGGAGTTATTTATTGGAATGGAGGTTTGCTGGAATGCTGACAGTGAGTTTCACAAGACCTCCCTAGACTACCTGGACTACCAAGTGTCAAATGAAATGGCCTCAGCAAAGTGAAAGAAGTATTAGACTGGCAATCCTCACACACTCTTAAACAGCTCCAAAGCTTCCTGGGGTTTGCAAACTTTTACAGACAGTTTATCCCAGTCTTTGTTGAGGTCACGCTACCCCTGACAGAACTACTAAAGATGGGGGGAGGAGCCTCGAAACTTTGACTGGGCCAGTTGCTGGCTTGGTCACTGGATTGATTTTGAGAGACTAAAAGGGCTTTTTGCAGAGGAGTCCATCCTCAGGTAATCCTGACCCCCAAACAGTTGTTCATCATACAGGGAGACACCAGCAATGTAGCCATAGTGGCAATGCTCTTGCAGACTAACCCTCAGAGCCAGCTTTGGGTAGGAGCCAGCTCTAGCGTATGCCTTTATTGTGTCCCATACATTCTGAATTGAGGTATCTTCTTTTTTATTTTCTCTAAAAAAAAGCCAATTCTTTCTCCATCCCTTGTGTAAAGTCCTTTTCTTTTAAAATAGTATTATTTAACGTCCATCTCGATCTTCTTTTTTGTCCTTTCCATTTAATTGTCACTGGATTGTGGTCTGCCCAAGTGCTTGTTTCAATATTTATTTCTTGAATATTAGATATTAGTTCTGTTGAAATCCAAATCATATCTATTCTGGACCATGATAAATGTCTATTTGAGTAAAAAGTTTAGCTTTAGCATTTCTTTCTCTCCATATATCTTTTAAGTTTATTTCATCTATTATTTTAAAAAAGGATTTAGGGAGAGTCTATTTTGCTTTGTTGTTGTTGCTGTATAGTCCAATTTGTTGTCTACAATTCCATTGAAATCTCCCATCATAACTATATTAACATAGTCCAGTTCAATTATTTTCATGTGTAGTTTTTTATAAAATTCTTCTTGTTTATGATTCGGAGCATAAATTGCAATCAGGAGTGTTTTCGTATTATTATCCATTATTTCCACCATTAATACTCTTCCATCTTCATCAGTATGAATTGATTTTGCTGAGATGGTCTCCTTAATATATAAAACCACTCCTCTTTTCTTACATTGAGTCAAAGAAGTAAATATTTTCCCTAATTTTGGCTGCACCAACAATTGTTCATATTGTTTTTTAATATGTACTTCTTGTAAACAAATTATATCAAATTTTAATTTCTCTAATTTGTGAAAAATTTTCCTTCTTTTAACAGTTGAGTTAAGTCCATTTATATTCATTGTAATCAATTTTTTCTCTTCCATGATTATGCTTTGTAGTTAGGTTTGGTAGCTCTCGTAGATCTTGGTTCACGTTGTTCTTTAGATTCCACCTGTCCACCTACTGCGCCTTCTTCTTTTTCAGTCTCCATTTGGTCCTCTTGGAATTCAATTAGTGAGACCTCTTTTTCTGCCTCTTCCTATCTCCTTCCAAAAAATTCTGCATAGAATAATTCTGCTTTCTCAATTGAATCAATTCTGTGTCTCTGTTCTTGCCATGTAAACATTAATCCTTCTGGAATTAGCCATCTATAATTCACCTCTTTTTTCAGTAACATTTTAGTTAAGAATCGGTATTCTCTTCTTATCTCTCTCACTTTTCTGGGTATTTGTTTTAAGACCGCAATCTCCTTGCCCTTGTATTTCAGCGTTTTCTCTCTTGCCACTTGCAATATTTGTGTTTTAATGGCTTTTTTTGTAAATCTAATATGAACTTCTTGGTAGGTTATTTCTCATCGCATATCTTGTAAAAACTCGATATACCTCATCTACTCCATCCATCATCTTCTCTTCCTTTATTTCCAAAGCTTCAGCCAATATTTTTATCATTATCTCAGCTAGATTTTGTCCTTTTTCTTCCTCTATGTTTTGAAATCTGAGATAAAATTCTGATCTGTCCATCTCCCATTTCAGCATCCCACTTTTATCTAGTTCAACCACTGTTAATCTGGTATCAATGTCTCCAATCTTTTTGTCTCTTTGTTTATCTTCTTCAATTTTTTGGAATCTCTCATCACACTTCACCATCATTTGTTGAATATTCTCCACTTTTTCATCGGTTTTCTCTATTCTTTTTTCAATAGTGTCTGATTTTGTTTTAAGTTCTTGGATTCCTTGCATAATCATCTGTAGGGTCACGTTTTCTTGTTCTTTGTCTTGCTTTAACATTGTCTGGATTGAACATTGTCCTCCAGGTGGGGAGGCAGAAGTAGAAGTTGAAGAGCCAGCAGCTATAAGTTTCCTGCTCATTTTAAACAGTTGAAGATCTTCAGGTCCTTCTGAACCTTAATCCAATTATGAAGTAGCCAATTATAATCCAAGATAGAAAATAAAAATGGTAGAGAGAAAAAAGCCCAATAATAATAAAAAGAAAAGGAGAAAAAATAATAATAAAAAAAAAAATTCTTCAGGTTCTTCTGAACCTTAATCCAATTTGAAGTAGACAATTATAATCCAAGATGAAAAATTAAAATGGTAGAAAAAATAAAGCCCAATAGTAATAAAAAGAAAAGGAGAGAAAATTTCTTCAGGTTCTTCTGAGCCTTAATCCAATCAATAGTTAGGTAAAAAGGAAGGGAAGAAACAAAAAAAATAATTAAAGAACAAAAAAAGAAAAAGAGAAAAAATTCTTCAGGTTCTTCACCACCTTAATCCAATTGAGAGGTCTCAAAAGTAAAAAAATAAGAACATAAAAATGAACTAAAAGTATGGATGGAAAAGGCACAAAATCCCAGAAAAGAAAGGGAAAAAGAAAAGGAAAAATTTTGAGGCTTTCCCTTTAAAATAAAAAGCAAAAATGGAAATATTACAAAAATAAAGGTTGTTTAATAAAAGGAGTACAGTAGAGCTGGTAAGGAGGGGTAGCACAACTTAAAAAAATAAAAAGGACACACTGCACTTTATTTAATCATCCAAGGCTCTTATTATAACTCTCTTCTCCACAGACTTCAAAACCAAGCTTCAATTGTTGAAAGAAATCCAGAAGAACAACTGCAATAACACTCTCCCGTGCTCTTCCCTCTATCTTATCACGTTGCAATGTCCTTGAAAGGGAGTCTCTGATCTTTCTTTGTCAGCTTTCTCAGCTTCGTCCAAGGTATTTTCAAGCCTCTAGTTGGCAGTGTTACAAAGTTTCTTTGCTCTCACTTTCCCCCTCCTTTCCCAGGCAAAACATAATAGAAGTTAAAAAAAAGAGAGAAAGTATATATATAAGAAAAGAAAAGTAACTAAAGGGAGCCTCTAACCTGAAATGTTGCAAAATCAAAAAGAAGAAAAAATAGATATAAATAAGAAAGAAGCCAGTCCAGTTAGCAAATACTAAATCGTGATAGAAGTCCAGTAATAAGAAAATAAAAAATAAAAAGCCAAGCCTTACTTTGACGTTTCCGTTTAAAAACCGCCGCTTTTTCCGTTCTGTCAAAACTTTTACAGATTTTTTCTTTTCCTTAGGGTGTCCCTTTAAGTCTTAGAATAATGATAAAAAAAAGTTCTCACCAAACCGACACTTTCTCTTTCTGGTCTCTTCCGATCGGAGCTGTCCCAACTTCAGCAGCTTTAATGGCTACCTCTCTGCCGCCGGCAAGAAGGGCTTCTCCTGGATCAACCAGGGACTTTGTGGTGTCCCTGGGATCTACAGGATGCACCCTTCACTATCGCCGTCTCTTCGGGACAGTTTAGGTTCGTTTGGACCATCCAGAGGCAAAGATATCGGCTGCAATCTCAGACCTCCGAGATTGCATGCCGTACCATCGCAACACCAGCGACGCCCTCCCTAATGCTGTCGATATTGTTTCTGTCCCATAACTTCTGCCACATTTAATTTTATGGTATATCCAAAGTTTTTTGCCCATGCGATCATTGTTTCTTTAATTTGTTCTTCTTCTAACTTAACACCCAATAAATAACAATATAGTCTTTCAATCACCTTATCTTCCGTTCCTGTTAATATTTTATGCAATTCTGTCAACTTGTTAATTCCATCACCTTTAATATTTTTTTCATATCTTGATTGTATTTGCATATACGAATACCAATGCATTTCTAATCCTTGTTCATTCAATTCTTGTTTTGTTTTGAGCTTACCCTTTTCATTTAAAATATCTTTATATCTGGTAACAATTCCCATTTTACAAACATTTGGGTGTATAAGTGCTTCCATTGTTGACAACCAGACTGGTATCTTCAATTAATATTGTTTTCTAGCTTTTCCCCATACATATAACAATGCATTCCTTACCATATGCCTTTGAAAATACCGATTTATTTTGCTTCTCCCATACAACAAAAATGCATGCCAATCCCTTTGCAAATCATGTCCTTCCAATGTTAATAACCTTTTATTTCTCATTGTTATCCATTCTCTCATCCAAGTTAGTGCTGTGGCCTGATAGTATACCTCCCAATTAGGTAACCCAAACCCTCCTCTAATTCTAGCATCCTGTAACATTTTACATTAATTCTTGCTTTCTTTCCTTGCCATATATATTTCAATACTATTTTATTGATATTTTCAAAAAAAAAATCAAATTTTATCGGAATTGTTTGAAACAAATACAACACTTTGGGTAATATGTTCATCTTAATCGCTGCAATTCTTCATGTTAATGAGAATTGCATATTACCTCATTTTTCTAACTCTGTCTTAATTCAACTGAATTCCTAAGTATTTAACTTTCTTTACAATCTGAATGTCGATACACTCTGTCAGTTCTTTTTTTGTTTGTTTGTTTGTTTCTCTGTCATGTTTTTCACCAATATCTTAGTTTTTCCTTTATTTATTTTTAATCCAGGCTGCAGTCACATTCCTGTCTGAGCTGCTAGAGGCCATCTCAGTGAAGTCCTAGGGGACTTCAAATTACCTATCCTGGATTTAGCTTCAGAGGCAGCCAGTAGTTGTTGGTTACAATGGCAATAATGGGCCTATCCCAGATTACCCAAGGCTTGACTCAGAATAATGATCATACTCCCAATATGATTTTCGTGTCAGAGCAGTGGCAATGTAATTTGGTGGAGAATCTGTCATTATCCTCATGTCATGGTCTAACTATGTCCTCATGGCTGTAAGATTTGCCAATGCAACCCCTCGCCCCTGCAGTGAAGCAGGACCTATTCAAATGGTCTACCTTTGGTGACTAATGGACCTAGATTTAGAAGGAGCTGGGGGGATATCCCAGGCACAGCTGCTGCATGACCCTGTGGAAGCTTTGGCCAAAACCTAGAATCAGAAAGAGGCCAAGACTCTTGACAGGATTCTGCCCACGTGCCCTCTCCTGGTTCATTGGTCCTGAAACTCTGCAAAGTTTGGAGGAGTTAAGGTTGCCAAAAGATGGCCAGAGCACCACTGGA